ACGCGGCTCCGGCGGAACGTGAGGCCGCTTCGTGGGGCAGGAAGACCGGCCGCCCTGCCCTCGGTTCGAGGCCACGTCCCTGGGGTCCGTCATCGGCACGGCCAGCGTCATCTCCGTGGTGCCCGACACGTTCGTGGCAGGTAAAGGGTGCGGATACTCCCGACGCTCTGAAGCTGGCGACCCAGGGCAGCAGCAAAGCGTGAAGACAGAGCCGTCCTCACCGGCGGAGCGGCCAGTCCCCGAGAGGCGCTCCGGACACGGGCGCCCCCGCCCCGCTCGCCTGAGAACACCGTTCCCTATCTGTGTGTGGAGGGCGCCACACCGGACGGAGACCCAGGGCCAGAGACACCGAGTTTCCCAAAGGCCCTTCTTGGTCTGCTTAGTGCAGCCGGGTCAACCCTCCCGCACGCAGAGCCACACTGGCTCTTCCGTGGACAGTGACGCAGGAGGCCTCCCCGCCCACCGAGGCGCACACCAGCAGCCCGGGGCAGTGTGCCCAGCTGGCCCCGGACACAGACCCTGGCCCGTGACTCTAGTTGAGTCTTCAGCCTGTCACAGCCACGCGGGCCCCGCCTGTTCCCAGCGAGGCCTGGCAGCGAGCCCAGAGACAGGATTAGGGGCTCTGGGGGCCAAAAATCCAAGGGCAGTGAACTATGCCGACGGAAGAGAAACATCTTGATCACCACATTCTTCTGACCGGCTAGGAATGGACCAGGGCGAGTGCCGCCACGTAATCCTACTGTGTTTTCTCAGCGGCCACGGCATCGGGGCAAGGGGGAGAGAGTTTGAAATGAGTGACTGCAAACCGCGATCAGGCTCAGCAAGGCTGGCACGCATCCAGGGAGCGGGCCCGGCGCACGGCCCACGGACCGTGGCGCGGGCCTGGGCTTGGGTCCAGATCTGCCTGCCCTGACCAGCTCGGGGACCCCGGGCCCCTGTCCAGACTCGCTAGCGGGGAACGTCCACCACTGGCTTCGCTGGATCCCCCCGGCAACTCCCGGCCAAGCGCTAACGTGCATTTCGACCGTTCACGATTCGTTCCCCCACCGGGAACCTGAGCCAGCGTGTCAGGAAGAGGGCCCGGGTCACAGCCGCCAGCGAACACGAGCCCTTCCAGACTCGCTGCCGCCGGTCGGGGGCGGCGCCCGGAGCAGCCTACCGGTAGCTGAGCGAAGGTCCTCGGAGGTACTTCGCCTCAGCCGTCTCGTAATCCACGGCGTCCACCGCAGCGATCGCACAGATGATGGCCTGCAAGAGGGCAGGGGGCGCTCAGCCACGGGCGGTGGGCCCACGCCGCACACGGGCTCGAGAGATGGGCGTGGGGCCTGGGGCGACTTCGGACCAGCCTCCACAAACGCGCACAGATTCCCTGAAGTCTCTGGACGTTTTTGAATGGCGTCAGTAATGCCATGTCTTGGGGACGAGGGAGAGAGTTCGTGTCACTAACAGCAGAGAATGAAAGGCGGGACCCAAACCAACTGGGATGTTTTAGAAAAGTTGTAAGCTTACTGTTCACACCACAGGGAAAACTACAAGACTGATGGTCCGAGCACGCGGTACGTCTGGTGTTGAGTCCTCGTTCACTTTGTTAGATAACGGAATCATGGTTACGTCAGAAAGCCTTTTCAAAGAGCCTGTACGGGGCGCCTGGCAGGCTGGGCTCGTGGAGACCGTGACCCTTGGTTCCTGGGCCCCGAGCTTAGGCTGCCGTCGGGCATAGACGCTACTTGAAAATACAATCTTTAGGGGCGCTGGGGTGGCTCGGTCAGTCGAGCGTCCGACTCTGGCTCACATCACGATCTCGCGGTTTGTAATTTCAAGCCCCACCTCGGGCTCACTGCTCTCAGTGCAGACCCCACCTCAGATCCTCTGGCCTCCGCCCCTCTCCTGCTTACACTCTCCCAAAAATAAATACTGAAAAAAATCTTTACAGACCCCCCCCCAACCTGGGCACTGCTGACGTCGGGGCACGTTACTCTCGGGGGTGTCCCGGGCACTGTGGGGTTCAGCAGCATCCCAGGCCCCACCTGCTGGGTGGCTGGAGCCCCCTCAGCGGGAACCACAGCCGTCCCCGCACGGGGACCAGCATCTCTGGGGCAGAACCACACTATCTGAGAGACACACACTGAAGTACTTCAGGACCAAGAACTGGGGATCTCCCCCGTAGTTATGTGAAGAGAGCTAGAGGTACAAACGGAGAGAGGCCACCATTCCGCACAGGCTACGTGACAGTGTTTTACTTTTATACCAATCTGAAAGCTTCCAGTTTGTATAAAGTTACGGGTTTTTGAGCACGGTAATTTTCTGCACGCACACGTACGCGCGAGCAAAGCCCCTGACCCTCCAGATAACCGGCGGGGTCTTGTGTGCTCCTGCCCAGCAAACCCCGGCTGCCGCATCTCCCCAGGCAGCTCCCGTTCTGGAAAAGTCCTCGCGTGCATATACGGACAAAGCACTCAGCTCTCGTTCTCTCGTCCCCTCTCCCCCCCACCGGCCACGAGGCTTAACCACGGAGGCCATCACACCACCCACAG